CTCTTGCACACCCCCCACTGGGGATGTGCCCATGACCAAGGTACATGCCCTTGACAGGAATCAAACCTGGAACCCTTCAGTCTGCAGACCGACGCTCCATCCACTGAGCCAAACTGATTTCGGCTGGAAATTCTTTTCTTAAAATAATTTTACATTCTGGCTGATACTAGCAATATGATAAGAGGATACTTACATTTATATTCTGAGAACATACAAAAAGCTCAATATAAACATCTTTAAATAACTCAATATAATATCTGAAGTACAGTTTAGGAGTCCTAATGTTTCTCAAGTCTTATAAAAATGCAGTGACAGAAAAATGCTTTCTTTTATCCAATTCTTTTATTATCTCATTTAACTCAGATGCCCTTGCTTCACCATCTGTAACTGATAATGGTATAAAAAGTCCAACTGTGCCATCTCCAGACTCACAACCCCAAAACTCCTATTACTAAGACAAAAAATTGCAAGCTTATCTTGGGAGCATAAGACCAAGATGTTTTAGTTCAAAGCAAAGCAATCATTTTTTTTTATTATAATGGTTTTAATTTTTCATATGAATCTAATACCAATATTATAAAAATGTTGAAATTAAAGTTAGTTTATGTCCCTAGAGTAAGAATTTAGTTTTAAAAATGTACCAAACAAGAGGTTTTATTTCTTGATAGGAATCCTTTTTTGAGCAGACCCTGAAAAGATCTCAGAGATTTAACGGATTCCCAGGCCTTTTATAGCCAGTTTTGGCTCAAGCGCTACAAACTACAAACATAAGGTATATCCACTGTAAGTCTGAAACAACTTCAAGCAAGTGTTTACAGTATTCCTCAATTGCTCTGTTCCCTGCAGTCCTAAAACCAGTAAAAGCCTTTCCTGCACACATACTATAAGGTGCCCTAGATGGAGTAGCTTCTCATCTAATCTACCTTGGCATTCACTTGTTTTCCTTAAGCAAAAATCACATATCCCTTTTATACCCAGCCATAAACACATTTAAATTTACCTTCTAATCTAGTTCCAAATTCTATACTATAGGAAAGGACTGAAAAGACATTTCTCAAAAAATATACAAATGGCATAACCATTAAGCAATTGAGAAGATGCTCAGCTTCATTCATTAGTCATTAAGGAAATGCACATCAGAACCACAATGAAATACCATTTCATACCCACCAAGATGGCTAATGTCAACAACAAAAACACCCGGAAAATAAGGGAATCTTCAGACACTGCTTGTGGGAATGTAAAATGGTACAGCCACTTTGGGAAGGAGTTTTGCAATTTCTCAGTTACCCTGTTTCCCCCAAAATAAGACAGTGTCTTATATTAATTTTTTCTCCCAAAGTCCACATAAAAAGTAGTTCACAAGTATTCATAGCAGTGTTGTTCCTAACAATCAAAAAGTAAGAATAAATCAAATGTCCATCAATTGATTAACTGATAAACAAAATGTCATAAAAGGGAATACAAGCTCCACCATGGATGAACTTGCAAACATTTTGCTAAGTGAAAAAGAACCAAAAGGCAAAAGGCCACATGCTATAAGCTTCTATATATTTATACGCAATGCCCAGAACAGAACAGGCAAATCCATAAAGACAGAACTAACTGGATTGGTGGTTGCTGGCGGAGGAAGAATGGGGAGTGACTTTTTAATGGACCCCTAGGTTTCTTTGGGGTGTGATGAAAATGTTCTGGAATTGGCAGTGATGGTTTCACAACACTGTGAATATACTAAAATAAACTGATTGTATGCTTTAAGTTGGTTAAAAACAGTGCATTTTATCTCAGACAAAACACCCTCCCCCAAACATCCCTGAATGTTTAAGTATCTCAACTGAGAAAGCCCCTTGGTCCTGGCGGGGTAGCTCAGTTGGAACATCAGGCAGATGTGCCAAGGTTTCAAGTTCCATCCGGGGTCGGGGCACACATAAGAATCAACCAATGAGTGCATAAATAAGTGGAACAAACTGATGTTTCTCTCTCCCTCTCTAAAAATCAATCAATTTATTTTATTATTATTTTTTAAGAGCCCTGGCCAGGTAGCTTAGTTGATTAGAGCATCATCCTGATAGCCAAGGTTTCCATTTAGATCCCGGGTCAGGGCACATACAGGTGTCAACCAATGAATGCATAAGTCAGTGTAACAACAAATTGGCTGTTTCTTCCCCCCTCCCCCTCCCCACCCCGTCTCTCCCTTTTTCTCTCCTCCGACACCTCCCTCCCGCAAAAAAAAAGCAAGGCCCTTACTTCGAAGAGGATGAATACTGAGCTATCCTTATGTTATGACTGTAAAGGCACTTCATAGATTATTTCCTCAGGGCACACAGTACCCCAAGTCCTATCTTTCACCCATAACGTAAACTTGTGGCAAGTTATCCAGAATACTATAAATACTTAAACACACACACACACTTTTTCTTCATTTAAACCAGAGTATAAGACTTAAAAAAAAAAAAAAAGTCATCTGAGATTCCCCAGACCTGTTCCTATTGAGGAAAAGATTTCCAGGAAACCAGACACCCAGCACTTCACTGCGATTCTGACATTCTCATCAGGCCAGGAAAAGAGCAACCCAAATATTGTCGGTCCCAGCTGGTCACTGCCAAACTCAGTCTCCAAAAGAGGCCGCTTCGGTGCAGAGTTTACAGAACGGAGGAGAGAACGGGGCTGTTCCCCGCTAGGAGTGACACCTCCCTTCCCACACAGCCGACGGCCATCCGCCAAGCACCGTGTAAACAGAACTATTCCTCGGTCCCCAAAACCCTCTGACAGGAGTACTAACTGCTATGGCTCAAGAGAAAGCACCACAGCGTGCGCCCCCAGAACAGGGCTCCTGGCGTGTGCGGAGAACACACGCCAGAGGACCGGCGGGCTGGGACCAGACTCCCCCCGCCCACCGCCTCCCACGCCGGAGTGACACTCGGTGTCCGCGACCGGCCCTCATGGAAGGAAGCGTCACGTCCCCGGGCTACAACCGTCCCCGGGCTACAACCGCCGGCGCCGAACGGCCCGGGGCAGACAGGAAGGGGACCAGCCTCCTGTTCCACCGCCCGCCCTACCGGAGGCCGAGAAGCCCGACACACGCCGCTCGCCCGCCCCGCGCGCGGGGACAGACCCGGCCCGGCCCGGCCATCGGCCACTTCCCCGCAGAGGCAGCGCGGCGCCAGGGGCCGCTGCAGGGAGGACGCCGGGGGAGCGCGGGGACCCGGCGGCGAAGGAAGCTGCCAGGGGGGCGGCCGCAGGGCAGTCAGTCAGCACGGGAAACAGGGTGGTGGGGGCGAGCGACCGCGCGACCGGGCGACTGAGGAAGATGAGGCGGGAGGGACCCTTACCTCCTCCACAGCTGAAGCCATGGTCGGGCTGGGTGGGCAAGGCACAAGCTTGCAGCCCCGCGGGGGAAAGAACAGGAAACGCCGCACCCACGCAACTCGCAACGCCCGCAGCCCTGCGGCGACCCGGACTGACCCTGCACCACACCGCGGCTCGCCTACCGCACGCGGTGCCTCTGGAACCTTCGCGAGTCTGGCGTCACCGCCCCCGGCACCGCCCTCCTCCCTCAGCCCCGCCCCGCCCCGCCGAACCTGGCTCCGCCCCCCTTGCCCGCCGAGCCTCCTAGCGACGCTCAACTCTCGCGAGAAGTGTAACGCCACTTTCTCTCCGCGAGGACGACTGTATGTTAGTACGTAAGCCTTGTTTTTCCCCGGCTGCGCAGTCGCAACTCGGAACCTTACCCCAACCCGGAAGGAACATATCAGTGTGAGAGATCCAAGTCGGAAGTTGATTAGAGAGGCGGCTGCTTCCGTCTCCTGTAGGACAACGGGGAAACTAGGCAGCCATCTTGTGTGAGGCCAACCTGGGAACCTCTGCGAGAAGTGAACACACAAAAGGGAAAAGGGGCAACCTATTTATGTTGTTAAAACGGGAGAGAACGAAGAGTTAACTGTGGAGGACCCTGAAGAGAACAGTTATTTTCAGTGTGTTCTGGCGTCAGCGACATGGTTGCGTCACCAGGGACCAAGTGGGGTTTTGTTGGGCACGTGACGGCGCCGCCAGGATTCAGACTACTAATTAATACAAAGCGCCACACTCTATGACCTCAAGTGCGCTCTCCGCTTTCCCTGTGGTTGGTGGAAGCACTTCCAGGTACCTGCGCCCCGTTGCCCCCGCCACTGACCATTCTGCAAATCGCCAGTTCTCACTCTGGTGTGGATTCTGGGACTATTCCGCTCTGCTGGCTCCAGCCTCAGTAAAAGCCCCTAAGAAACCAGCCTCTGACAGCCTCAAACATCTGCAGCACATTGAGAGCATAGCCACTAACCACTGGGAAGTCCGATAGACCTCAGTCACTCAGCTTTACGTATCTCCCGAGGTAGTGATTAGAACCAGCAAGTCAAAGAAAGAAAAACAAGCTTTTAGTAAGACGCAGGTTGGTCCTTATCCTAGCAAAAAAATCGGGAGTACAATTCAAAAGCAAATGCATGAATTTCACAAAAGTGAAATGAAGTCTACAAACAAAACTAGCCTAAGGTGTTATAAAAAAAAAAAAAATCAGGATAGTCTTACATGCATAACCCATAGACATGGACAACAGATAGTGTGGTGAAGGGCTGGGGTGGGGCAGGGTGGAGGGGGAAAAGGGAGGGGGTGAGGAACATCTATGATACTATAAACAGTCTCTTGTCCCAATGCCTCTTCAGGCCCCGTTTGGCCTTTGGTATGTATAATACAATAAAATAAGCCCCTATTTCCTTTTAATTGTCTTATTATTAAGCTAGCTTAAGAGTTTCTGTTACTTGCAATCAAGGAATCTCTAGAGAGAAGAAAATAGGGCCCTTGGCAGTTCTGCTGTACAGGACATCCTGCAGGTAGAGCCTGGAATAAGCTCCTGTGTATTTTTTCTTTCTGACTGGAATCCTTTGTCAAATAAGAAGTGCTACATAAACACTGGGTTCCGATATTTAAGAATAAAACGAACAAGAAGAAAACAGAAAAGACAGTTATGGACTTGGGAACAAATGTTTATTACTGCTTAATGGGGCCAAAGGGGCAACACAAAGCATTGAAAACATCACTGGATCACAAAAACAGTCACCTGTGTTACCTTCTGGGTTGCATTTGTTTATTTCACAAGGCTCCATTCACACATGAAAACAAGCTACTAGTCCAATTCAAGTTCATAACGATTATAAAAGTAAACATTTTGGGGACAATGTACAATAAATTGCACTTTTCTTAACAAGCATTACATTTACATTTATGGAGTGTACTATGCATAATACATGGAATTATGGAAACATCTAATTGGTCAGTGTTTATAGGAGAGGCTGCTCACTAATATTTCTTTTGTGGTCAATTAGCACTGTCAGGGCCAATGGACTCCTTTATCCCAGAACCTGTTTTCATTAGAGAAACCACGGACAAAAACTATGCTATTCCTGAAAATAGATGTTATATAATTTCTACTACCTCCTCAACAAAGGAAAAGTAGGAGTTGAAAGAAAGGAAGTGGGGCTGACTGAGAAACTCTTTTCTTTCATTTGAATTAAGGATCCATATATTATGCAAAATACCAAAAATAAACGGATGTAAAAGGCTATTGGGACATCTTGGATTCTGAGACCATCTCCAGCTTTATTCTTGTGCTTTCATGATACCAGAGTCTTGATGCATTTGTAGCCTTATAATTCAGTTTCCTATATTTTATTCCATATATAATATATACTTATGTTACAATGGAAAAGATTTTACATGTTAACTTACTGCCAATGAAAACAAAAGGAACTTAAAATGTTCATTTTCTACTCAGTGATTCTTTTTTTCTTAAGTGTTTCAGAATACACTGATGGTAAACCTGGGATGGAGGTAGGGAGAACGGGACACAATGAAGATGTTTGTACAGCAGGCAACAAATTCATTGGAGATAAGCTGGACATGTAGTCTTTTAGGTGGAAGTTGAGAAGGGGACTCCTGACCGCTGACTGGAGTCACTTCCTACTTGTAAACATTCACTTTCTCATTACAACTCAAGACCATCTCCTATTGAGGTGCAGCCCCACTGAAGTTTTCATTTTGGTAGCTTTTGAAAGACAAGGAATTCCTAAGGTAAAGGGCTTTGCCTTTATTGTACAGAAGCCACTATGAGAGAGGAAGGATGTTTCGGAGCAGTTCTAGTTCAATGTAACCATGAGCCTGGCAACTCCAACTCGAGGGCAAGAGCTTTACACCCGGTAGTTAACAGGCCATTGAGCCGTTACCAGCCCTTCGGTATTCAATTGCTATGTATGTATTTAGGTGCATGGTACCTGGGTATACAAGAGTCAGGGACACTCTATAAAATTTCACACACACAAGTCTAACTTTTCAAACAATAGTTTGTCCGTTTTCTCATTTATTTATAACGGAAGCAAGAGAATCAGAGCTTTTGTAAGTATTGTTTTTAAAAGTTATACAATAGAATCATCTTATTAAGTGTCCTTTTCAAGAGAGATAAAACAAGGTATTTAATTTTTTTAAAAAGCTCTTTTGTCCCTTCAAGGGGTCCTGAAATCAGATACCCACCTTAGCAGAATAGGAGAGTGATTTCAGCTAAAGAAAAAGAAAACAGCCCCTTACCTCAGTTACATGTGATTCTCATCTGCAATACCTAATCAACCCTTTTAAGGATTCCTCATCTCTTGTGTATTCTCTTGTTTCACTCACTTTGGCTGGGAAATGAAGCCACTACGGTAGTTCTTAACTAGAAAGTAGTTTAAGAAAATAGAGTAGGAGATAGAGAATAAATAAATAATATATAGTATGAAAGAACAAAAACTTTGAATAAATGAACTAAGACAAATATGATTAAATATCCCAACGTCAGTACAAAGACTGCTCTTCTATTTACTATGGAAGTTTAAGAAAGCCAATGAAGAAGAAACTGCCAACTTAATAGCCAGGAGAGGAGAACACAGGTATTGGCTGTATGTTAATATAGGCCTGTATGGTATGCCTAATAGAGTTTCTGAAAGGCTCTCATATACAGAACATTAGGTAACTGTGTGTGTGTGTGTGTGTGTGTGTGTGTGTTTCATTTAATTATATGCAACTAAATATAACCAAATTGTGCCATGGTTCAGAATGTGGGTAGCTAGCAAATTATGCACTGCAAAATTCAGCCTGGTTTCTTTCAGCTTTAAATTACGTGTTAAATAAGATTTTCAAGATATAAAAGCTACTGAATTGAATAATCAAGTTGAAGTTCATTCCCTTCATTTATTTTGCAGAATTTAATGAAAAGAGAAGTAATCTCTTTTCAGAATGTTGCAAATGTTAGGTTCTGGATGAATGTTTTAGATAATGTGTTCTAGGAAAAGATGAAGAACACACTATAATATCTGAAAATTTCCTGGATATTTAGGCTAATCTCTTTCTAAAGGAATCAAGGAAAAAAAGCAATTCTCAAATACACTTCAAAATAAGTGAAATTAAAACTAGCAGTGAATCCTAGGATGCATGAGTTTTAATCAACAGACGGTGAAGGACATGTAGTTTGGGATAATGCTGTTATAACATATTGTTTGAATAATCATATCATATGCCATATTTTGAATTTTCTTTCTATCTTTACTATTGCTTCTGACCCAAAGGCATTGCAGTGAAAAAGTTTAAACTTATGGCACCAAAACATACTCAAATATGATATGGAACTGGAAAAGAAAAAAAATCTGTAGATTACCATTATAATCTTTAAAAAGAAAATGCAAAATACTAATTTATTAAACATTTGGAATGTATATACTTGGTGATTTTGTTTAAAGAAAAAAAATGAAATTTGACCAGGTTTTCAGAAAAAGACTGGATCTAGAACCATTCTATTTCTCCCTATTTAAGGAAAATCATGCAATTTAGTCATTCTGTGGAATGTGCCAATTTTTGGAAGTTAAAAAAACTATACAGATATAGTAGATCTACAAGATTCACAAAACAGAAAAGAACATCATTAATTTAGTTGGCCATTTGATAAGGCAACTTGTACAAGGCTTCTTGGTATCAAAGCATAAAGTATCAATAAAGCTAACAAATTATATTAAATGATTTATAGAAACAAGAACCGATAAGCAATTCTCTAGCCATTATATTTTACAAAAATAAAAATAAAAATATTAGGTTTTCTAAACCACCATGTAGGGAATGTTAAAGTCAACATAGACACTGGAATGCTGGCTTATTTTCATTTTTGGTAAAAGGAAATGAATATAATGATGAAAGATGTCAGGACCCAAAAAAGAAATGCTGTAAGAAAGTATTATTTCATGAGTGTAGCAAGCCTATAAACACTGATGAAGGGACTTCATTTTTTAGAGTTTAATGACCATTTTAGAGGGAAGCAAATTGTAGTGTGTGCTCCTGGTCAAGATGACTGTTACTTGATCTTTATCTCCAGGAGTGTGTTATTTTTAATTGTACCATATGGCACAGATGAGAATCACTCTGGCGACACAGAGGTTAAGATCATTTGCAAAGAATATGTTCAACAAGGAAGCCAAGAATGAGTATCAGTAAATGTTACTGACAGTAGTTGGGTTGGTGGAAAAGACCAAAAGCTGCCAAAAAAGCTTAGGAAATGGTAAAATTTGCTTGGCCCTTACCAAAGGATTTCCTGTGAGGACTATTGATATATACATGTTAAATATAATAGAAAAAATACTTCCATCAACTTTTAAACAATAGTTTTCTTTACCCTTCCATGAGATAAGTATTTCTATAAAGGTTTCATATTCAATCAAAAATGTTACAAATGCATTTGCAGCCTCATCTAGGAGTACCAAGGGCACATTTTTGGGGAGCTATAGAAATAAAAAAAACTGTCCAAGATTAAACTAAGATGATATGAAGCTGACATCCATTTCCCCATTTCATAACTTTGACAAAGTTACAGTATGTTAGTGTTTCCTTAGCAAGCATGTCAATATTAAATGACATTCTCTGTCCCTGTTTCTGAACACAGTGGCTAAACCTAGATCTTTCTAGGCTTTTCTGGTGAAGGTTTCCTAAGGCTACAATTCGCAATGTCCACTTCGACTTGACGTTTGCCAGCACGCACAACTGTGTTCATATTTAGGACCTTGCAATTCCTGTGTGGAGTTCTTAAAAGGACCTGTTAGAACACCAGGGTCAAAGTGATTTATTTCTTCCTGTGTTTATCGAAATCTCGGTTCCTTTTCTCTAGTGTGACTTCTCAACAGCCTAACTTATCCTATGGTTCTTGGCACTTCCTTTCTAGATGCACCCAACATAAAATGAAATAAACTAACTTGCTTTAGGGACTGTTCAATCCCAGGCCTGTCCTTCCCTCCAACAGGGCACTGCTCTCCAGGACATCACTTTCAGGAGGAAGCTGACAGTGGTCCTGACCAGCCCCACAGTGTGCTTTACCTGAATAAATCCTGGAAAGCTAAGAGTTTTGGATTTTAGTTTCTTTTTGTGTGGCAAATACCGTCTTATCACTTCAACCTTGGAATAAAAGACATCTCCATTTTCATGTAAGATAAACAATATGAACAGTTAGTTCTCAATAAAAAAAAGCATGTAGTTCTGAATTACTGATTTCCAACTAAATAGCAGGCATGTAAAATAGTGGGTAATACTAAGATGGATCTGAACATGGCCTTCCAAGAAGAAGCTTAAAAACAGGTATTCAACATAAACCAGGTCAGTTTCAATAATATCCCTTTGAAAGTGGCAAACAAGAAAGAGTGAGAGCCACTGAAAGAGCAGGCTTGCTTCCTGGCCTCCTTTACTTCCTTTCTTCAAAGGGGCCCCTAGGAGAGTCCTCAGGGTCTCCGTTGCTTTGATCGTTGTGCTCTTGTGCTGGGCTGAGGCGGGAACTATGTGCTCTCTTTGGGCGGCTGGGTGCTCTGTGGTGGTGGCAGCGGCTGGGTGCCTGTGGCCGTTTTGATAGAGTTCAGGGTTTTGCTAAACCAAGAGTTTTTCGCAGCTTGGATTTCATTCATGAGGGCCCCTCTCTGATGTTCAAGTTCCTAATTAAAATAGAAACAAAATAATCTGAATATTATAAATGTTTTCTCTCTGCCTAAAAATCCAGTAGAGCTTCTTGGCATCCCCAGGACTATAGAGTCATAGTTTCCCTCTCAGAAAACCCAGGAGAAATTTAACTGCCTTCTTGATGCAAGAAATAAATAATAAATAAAAAAATAAAAGTTTGCAGCTAAAAGAGGTACCACTAAAAACCAGAATCTGTGCCTTCTCTGAACAGTTAAATGAAACCTCATATTATCCTTTTATTCACCCTGCAAGTTAGGTTACAACCTGATATACCTGTTTCAAACTACAAATAAACATAAACATATGTATGGGTTGAATTTTTACTGATAGAGTAAAGCTGAGTGAGTTCTAGTTCCAAGCACATGACCTTTGCCCTGAGAACATACAAGGTCAGGCAGAGACAGCTAAGCACACCAGTGTGTGTGGGTTGGAGCAACGGCAGGACATGGTGGGTACGATTCACTGTTAAAGAGGAAATGGGGAATGGGGGACAGTTCATGAGAAGCCAGGACTACTTTCTAATTATGTTATCCTTCGATATGGAAAGAGATTATAGAGAAAGAAATTTGGCCAAATCAGGTAAAGATGAAAAGAAGCTTTAAAAAAAGAGGGTAGCGCCAAGACCGGTTTGGTTCAATGGATAGAGCGTTGGCTTGGGGACTGAAGGGTCCCGGGTTCGATTCCGGTCAAGGGCATGTACCTTGGTTGCGGGCATATCCCCAGTAGGGGGTGTGCAAGAGACAGCTGATCGATGACTCTCTCTCATCGATGTTTCTAACTCTCTATCTCTCTCCCTTCCTCTCTGTACAAAATCAATAAAATATATTATAAAAAAAAAAAAAAGAGGGTAGGGAGTGTCAAAAAATGTTCAACTATCGAGGGAAGAATAAACAGGTTTGGCCTTTCATTTTCCAAAGTGACCAAGTTCAACGAGAATGGACCTTGGCAAAAAAAAAATTGCAGGGGAAACTAAAAAAGTGTTTAAAAAACACACAGAGTTAAATGAATATTATTGTAATAATTAAAATTATATCTTGTGAGAACTTATCAAGTCACCAACCTGGATTTTACACTTGGCCTCCACCAGCTGCAGTTTGGTTTGTGCCAATTCCAGCTCCATCTCCCTCAGTTGCTTCTTAAGTGAGTCCTTCTCATCATCTGATTCAATCCCCTGGTCCTCTCTGCTTATGGCTGCTGGCTTCAGAGCGCCCTCCTTGCTGAAAATGTCACTGCAGTGCTTACAGGCCATCATTTTACCCTGAAATATCCAAAGGAGATAATCAACGTCAAGCTGTATTCCATAGCGTAAATCACTTCCTGAAACAATATGCGGCTTGATTTTTATTTAGATGCTGTTTGTTGCCATCAAATGCAGGCCTATTTCTGAAGGTTGTTATTTCCCTTATGCTACAACCAACATGGTTCCAGTCAGCACAAAACTTAACTATCCAAGACAGATGCCCCTTTTCCTCAAAGTATTTCTAGAGAGACTGGAGCTTAGACAGTATTGCAGCCCCTCTTTGACATCCATTGTGGAAATGTACTACCATTACTCTTACTAGATGCCAAGCCCCATCCATTATGCTCTGCATGCAGTATCTCATTTCATCCTAGGGCTACTGTATGATTAGGTACCATTTTCACCCCCTTTTTATAAATGAAGAAACTCAGCATGGAAGTAACTTGCTTAGAGTAGACTGAAGTTATTATGACTAACCTGAATCTACCCTTGCAACAAATAAAGTGTAAGTCCTTTTGTTCAGCATTAAGCAAAGATGATCACTACTGTTCAAGGTAATAAAAGTAACTCTGACCTGGACTGCCAATGACAACATAATCACCACCAGACAACAGCAATTCTCTTTGAGAAAAAAGTGCTATTTGCTTAAAATATTTCCAAAAATAGTTCAGAGAGAAAAGATATCACATAATCTTTCTATTTCAATGTTATGTTAATGTTACAGCAAGCTCAATGTCCATATCCCTAACTACTACCCCCTCTTTGCACACACACAGCAGCCCTCCCCCTTTGTGTCATTGTGCGCTTTGCCACCACTGAGGCCTGAAGATTTGGGTGCCTTTTCATTAGCTTCTCCTTCATTCCATTTCCAGCTGCTCATTAAATTTTTCCTCTGACATGACCAAACTCTCCCTATCCTGGGCCTGAATCCCTAAAATCATCTTCTCAGCCTCACCGGTTCCTTTCTTACCCCATCCATACTGTGTTCTTTCAATTCCTGCTTGATGAACGTTCATTAGAGCCTTAAAAGATATCTCATAGCTCTCCTAATTACCCTGTGCTGGCTCAGACAGGCACACAGCAAGTGTTTGGTATATGTTTATTGTTGATTAAATATGTGTTGATTAAGTAAAATGTTAAAGTTGGCGGCTTTGATCTGGGTTTTAAGTGATTAAAAGTTTACCAAGCTGGGTAAGCAGTGTCATTAGGCTGATGAACCTTATAAAGGAAGTGATTAATCTCACAAGAGGGAGGAGGACATTTCAGCAGAAGGAGACTGTGTGCAGCCGCAGAGAACTGCAGGGAGTGAGACGCTCAAGCAGAGGGGAAGTGATGCGCTAGTAAGAGGTACTCAGTGAGACGAGTTCTTCACAGCCACGTTGTGAAAGTCCTGAAACAGAATGCTCATGAATCCTGATTTTATCCTGAAGAAAATTCATGCATTCACTTCACCAAAGCCTGTGCTCCATGTTGGAGTAGAGCAATTAGCATCATGGAGCAGACATGCTGATGTGTGGGAGAGACCACAGATTCCCACCTCCTCCCTTGATAACAGAAATCTCATGCCATTTGGGCTGGAAAATGCCCAGTTAAAAGGCACCATTTTCTAGATTCCCTTGAAATTAGGTGTAGCCATAAGATTAAGTTCTGATATGTATGGCTACTTAAGGAAACTCACCCAATTGGAGGTAGGTCCTTGTATCCTTGCATTTTCTTTGGCCTAAAATTCCACCATGGAATGTAGGTGTGATGGTGGAAACTCCAGTTGACAGGTTTGACTTTTAGGTGACCTTGAGAATGGAAGCCCATGTGGAGGATATGGGTCACTGAAGTTTGGACACTGGTGAAACCAGGGTTTTTTTTAGTTCTAGACTTCTTTTACAGGAGATAATTAGCATCTTTTGTGTTTAAATCAATGTTATGTTGGGTTTTTACGTGTGGCCCACCTAATTCTAAATGGATACGTAGGGTGATATAGTCAAGTTTATATTTGGGATGATCTCTCTGATTACAGTGTAGAGAATTAACTGGAAACAGGATGGTGATAGAGGAATAGTGTTAGGGGATGGTGTTACAGAAGGATGAAAAAATCAGAAGCTATTATCATATCATGCCAAATAAGAGCTTAAAAGTAGGACTGGAGAAAGAGGAGATAGTGTGGTATAATGGCTAAATGTATGGATTGTACTGTTCTCTCTTTTACAAAATAATAAAGTTTAGAGAGGTTAAATAGCTTGCCCAAGTTGTTAAACTATATGCTGAGGTCCCTAGAATTCACAGAAATTACTAGTATTAAACCTGAATATATTCAAATGGAATTACATCAGGTTTCTAGAGTAGCGGTCTCAACATTACCTCTTACGAATACCAATCCATTTATTTGGTTTACTGTTGTTTCTACAGAATAAGAAACTCCTTTTTTCAAGTAATACCACTAGGGGGCAGCATATAAATAAATGCTACAAGTTTTCTTTAAAAAACAAACCTCTAAAAAATTGGTGTTTGAACCCAACATGTGTTTTCCAGTCAAGTTCTAGATCAACCATGCTGTTTTACTGTTCAAGAGAATGATGGGATGAAACTGCGGGGTCATTCACTGAAGCACTGCATCAGTTCCAGCACAGCTGGGATGCAGCTGCTGAGGGTTCCCAGGTTTCCACCATCTGAGAAAGCTTGGGGTCTCCTGTCACGATGCTGACATCCACTATCTGCCTCTGACAGCCCATAAGACTTATGGGGACATAACTCTAAGCTGAGGGAAGAGAGATATTATTTTCCATGATTCCTAAGTCCTCTACAACACGAGGTGGCAGAGGGTGGGGGCGAGGGGTGGTGATGTGCAGAAGCCATCCTGCCTGTGGGACAGCATCACATACTGGGATGGATTCTCTTAGGACTGTGAATGTGGAAGAAATTCTATCACTGAACTACTCCATTCTCCTCACCTTTACCACCTCCAACTCCTCCTTGCTGGCTGCTTGCTGTTTCTCCAGTCTGGTGCTCAACTGGGAACAGATCTAAAGGGAAAAAAAAAAAAAAAAAAAAAAGAGTCTTCATACTGGACAATAGAATAATTCTTACAGCGCGTGCACATAACTTTACCAACACAGGAGTAAAGAAAGAAACTGCAGATGTGGTCATTTCTGCAGTGAGCAGCCAAAGGCCTGGGAGTGTCCCTGTGTGGAGCACTATGTTAATTAGTAGAAGGAAACACATGGGGAAGATGTGAGTTCTTTCCGTCTCTAGCCTCATGACTGCTGCAGTGAATTCCTGTCCTGCTTCTGGAATCACTCTATAGAATCTTTGCTGAGCAACTACTTTGTGCAAGATACTATTTATGCTGGGAATTGGCTGAAAAACAGTTTGAACCAGAAATGTCTCCTATCTACAGCTATGAAAAGAATCTCTGTTTTCAATGACAAAAATTTCCTTAAGAAATGGCAGAGTGAATAAAAATTTTTAAAAAGGTTAAATGACCAGAAAATAAAAAGACTAAAACTCTCATCAAATGGTTTGGCAACACAGCATAAAACGTAAAGCCTGAGCGTCCAGTTCTACTATTGATACCTTCTAGTATTATGTCCTTGGGAAATTCATAAGCTCTCAAAGTTTCAGTTTTCTCCTGGCCAGAAAGTGTTGTGCTGTGAAAATCAGTGGAAAATATGTACTCAAAGAGTTTAGTATACACCTGGCTGATAAGTGCTCATTAAATAAAATCTCATTATTACTAATTCTGAAATAAGGTACTAACAAGTACTACAACAGGTAGAAATAAATGCTTTAAAGCCAAAAAGAAAAAGTGCTTTAAAAAATACTGAAAGTTCAACTCTTATTGAACTTGAGTGAAATTTGAATCTTTAATTTTTTGAGTAATGAAATAAAAGAGGGAATGTCAAATTTTCAAGTGCAGTTTGGACTGGCAACATAAAAGGTCTACCTCTATTATCAAAACAGGCATTAAAAAGAAACCCCATTTTACTCAAAAACAGTCCCTAGAGGCTAGGGCCTGCTTGTGAAGTTCAGTCTTGAATTCTCCAGGTCCACACCTGGAGATAACAAATAGGTCTGCATTAGCCAACATTAAAGAGAAACGATCAGCCTAGTAATTTTAAGCCACATACCCTTTTAAATAAACCAAAACATTCTGAAATATAGCCAATGATAACCAATTCCAACTATAGAATGCATTTGATCATGTTTTATGTCTTAATTATCTTCAAACAGATGGGCCTGTTGCCTTTAACATGACTTGAAGTGCTTGCCAGATAATATTCAAGAACAGTCCCAAGGACTGCTATTTGCAGAGTGCGGCATATGGCCTAACGTGATGACAAAAACTGCATCTGCAGCGATGGCGGGTTCCACAGCACATGCCTGTAAATGTTCCTTGTACTGGTTAATGTTTAACCATGCCCTCTCCCACTTACCCACATTCAAAATCTTATGATCACTTTCAATGTTTCCCCTCGTTTTAGCAAAACATGGCTATCTTTTTGTGGTTCCCTCTCCTCCACTTTTCATCGCTACTGATTTTAGTCAGGGTTCCATTTTTTCTCACCTGGGCGCCATGCTTTGCCTCTTACTGGTTGGTCTGTGTCTCTCCGGTGGATCCCTACTTGGTTCCACATTTCTCACTGGGACACAGTAGTGCCGAGAATAAGTCCTGGATCATGCCACTTTCCTGCTCAGGTGTTCCTACTACAAATAATTAAGTCCAAACACCTCAGCTATCCCTGAAGATCTTCCTTAAACTGGGTCCCCACTCACCTATGCTTTCCTTCGTATTTTATATTCTACCTCCGTGCCTTTGCACATGCCGTTGCTCCATGGCCATCCTCCGCTCTCCCTCTCCACACACCCACATCTCACCTGGCTGCTGAAGCACAGCTCACATCAGCCTTTCTCCAGGGAGGCTCCCCCTTCCCATATGCAATAAATTCCCCTTCCTCCTATTCATACACAGATATTGTCTCCCTTTACAAGGCCACATAGCCAAGTGGGAAAATGAGTTCCCACATTCTATACTGAGACAGCAAAGGACACACTGATCCCCTAGCTACTGCCATTTGATACAATCACTAAACTTTAGTCCTTGGCAAAGAGGCAAATGTCACTAGTGTGTTCTATAGGAAATTAGCTTCTGAGTAGGGCAGAGACAGGATCACCGTGGTAATAATAAGGTTTCTTGTTCCTCTAAAATCTATCAAATATTGTGAACAAACAACAGATTGTTTTGCTCAAATAAACCTCTTATGTTATCAGTAAGCGTGTCCAACCACTGCCAGTTTCAGAGGAGAAAATAAGCCAACAAATTTAATGAATGCAGTGCAGTCATTGTTCTGGAAACTCTAAAAACAAAATATATTTCCCTGAAGAACAACAACAATTGCTTTCATAGCGACAAAAACCACAGTGGTACATTACCTGTTTGTACTCGGCAATGATAGCTGTAGTCTTCTTTATTTCATATTCTGCCTTCTCTAGCTGTTTCCTGAAGACTTCTTTTAGCTAGAAAGAGTGAAAAGGAAAAACATCAAGACTCAGTCACAATCTTTAAATAATTCCCACAAACATGTAGATTCAGGTCTGCCTGAACCAAAGCCAATGGCAAGATAAACACTGTAACTATATAAATTTTCCTCGATGAAGCTGTATCTTGATCATTTGAAAATCCTCATCATCTCATGAGATACAGAAATCTTTCTTTCCTGTAATGTATAAGACACAGGAGCAATCCGATTATAAAACTGCTTATGCTTTTACTTACTTTATAAATTATTGTTAATTGTCGATTCAGAAGCTACATTTATCCTTATGAGAGTCTAAAACAAAACCTCAGGGCATATTGCCTGTACCCTGGATACTATCTGATCAATTACTGAAAAAACAGTTTAAGCCTTCCTCTTCATATCCGAACCGTCACTGCCGTCAGCTCTCTGAAGGCAGGAACAAGGGGCTCTGGGGGTGGAGTCAGAAAAAGATGGAGAAAGATGACAGCTCTGGAGGCCAGGAGATTCAGGGACTAAAGAAACGGTGACTTCAGAAGGAGCTAAAGTGATGGATAAAGGAGGTGCCTGTTACAATCAAAGAAATACTGAATTATGAATGCTAAACTTAAAACCAGCTATTTTTGTAATCCAGCAGCTCTAGAATTCTGGGTATGGGGAAGGTGAAGATAATAAAAAGGCTCAGGTGCCACCAGATGTAGGGGGAAGAAATCAGGACTTCCAAGTTGTTGACTAAACAAGCAAGCAAAAGCTTTGGGATGCTGTGATACAGAATTCATTTATTCTGATCATGTATTTAATAATTAATCTGTACATGAAATTCATTAGTGTAATTTAAAATTGGGCTCATATCATTAGGAGATTTCTGAATTTCTTCATATTTGCTACATTCTAAAATTCTAAAAGCATTTTGTAGGTTATTCTGATTCAAACTTGATTATTAAATTATTCTCTATTTTACATAATGTAAGGACATATGCCATTGCCTTTCTCCCTCTTATCACAGGGCCCATGGACCTCAGGACAGACTTGGATGGCTGTGAGGTTTTGACACTTAATTCTCTGAGCCACAGTTTCCATTAACAAATCTCATGAGGGTACAATAATGATTAAAACAGGGAAGAAGCACAGATAAAGTTCACTTGCCAAAAGCATCACCTTTACCTGAGGTACTAAAGTGAGCCCTCAAAAGGAAGGAAAAACAATACCCATCAAAAGGCCTATATTAAACTGGATAATCAGGCCCTAAAATTTCTCAAGTACATTAAAAAAAAAAAAAAAATGTCCTGCCGAAGCCGGTTTGGCTCAGTGGTAGAGCGTCGGTCTGTGGACTGAAAGGTCCCAGGTTCGATTCCGGTCAAGGGCATGTACGTTGGTTGTGGGCACATCCCCAGTAGTGGGTGTGCAGGGGGCAGCTGGTCGATGTTTCTCTCTCATCGACGTTTCTAGCTCTCTATCTCTCTCCCTTCCTCCTCTCTGTGAAATATCAATAAAATATATATTTTTTAAAAATGTCCAAAATAGGCCAAAGTCATTTTTTCATTTCCCAAAATAATAATAAATGCATACAATAAAAATCACAGAACACTTTTATAAACCTTAAAAGGTGCTAAATGATACAATCCTTCACTAGTAACTTCCTTGGAACTTTCTCTGCTTGGATGTAGGTCTTTGCAAGGCTTTGTGTCCTACTTGATATTTAGTATTTTTGATGTCTCGGAACAAAAGATTAGAATGAATGAGTTAATCAGCATGGCTGGACGGAGAGAGGGAAACAGCCTGCTCTTCCAGGGAAGCTGCAAGTGTCCACTCCTGTGTAGGAGAGTGAGAATTTTTGAGCATGCTTCCAGAGAGGCCGTGGACTATATGCCCCAGCTAGAGTTATCAGTGCCGACACCAGGGCAGGCCTTGAGATATGGTCTCATGGCCCCTTCTCAGCACATAGGCCTTCTTTCAAGGGCAGAGCAGGACTGACTCCGTTTTGTACTGTGTCCTCTCCATCTTGTGTAACTATGTCCCCGACATGACCCCTTTCCAAGAAAAACCACAGAATATGTCTTTTACCCAACCCACCCTTAAATCAGCCAATAGAAATGCAGAGGTCAGTAACCCGAGTGTAACTGGACCCTGGCCCTCACCCCACCAATTGGAACCAGCTAACTCAGTGATCCGAGCATCACCCCACCACCCAACCCTAAGCCCTATAAAAAGGCTATACTTTCAGAGCTCGGGGCTCTTTGCATCCTGCCGCTGCGTCAGTAGAGGCGGAGAGACCGGGCTTGAGCTTGAATAAAGGCTCTTTGCTTTTGCATCAGACTTAGCTCCCTGGTGGTCCTTGGGGATCTTGAAATCTGGGCATAACATTTGGGAACTCATCCAGGATCCCCAAGACCCCCGAGGGACCCCCATCTTGGAGAGCCTGACTGGCCAAGGTGGGTGTCTGTTCTCTGTCTCTTTTGTGTGAGCTCATTTCTGAAATTCTGGTAGTGCCCGGCATGGTCTAGGTGGATGCACTGGAGGACCTCAAGCCAGAGGATTCGGAAGACGTTCCGATCCCCCCAGGAGGGATGTGGAATCCCCTCCCAGGATTCTGTGGGTTTTGAGCTTCACAATCCTCATAAATTACCCCAGAGAAGTCAATTACCTTGAGATCCCACACGAAATTTGCTGATTTGTCAAAGCTTTTGGATCATAATCCCAAGTACTAAAATTAGAGAAAAGTGAACACGCTGGCTAGACAGCTCAGGAAAGGCAAATTCCTAAAGGTTGCTCGAGGGGAGAAACACTGCCTCCTCTTCTAACACCTGCAAAGGGAATGTCGAGGCTCGATGCCACTCACAGGGACTGCTCCGACGTCACCCTTGATTTAGAATAAGATGATTTCTTGTCTGAAGTATGAAGCATCTCTGCATACCTGGGTAACATACCTGAGTAAAGGAAAGCCCGCCTGCGCCTGTTACCTGAGCTGTCTCTTCCTCCTGCTTCCTCTTCTCTTCCTCGGTCTCCACCAGCCTCTGCTTGGTCAACAGGAGCTCCTTATTCAACACGTCTGCCTTGTCTTCTGCCTGCAAATCAGAGCGTGTCACAGTCATAAAGACAGAGACGGTGAAGGGAGTGTATTTATGTCTCCAACTCTAGCACTTCCTGTTCCAACATCACCACAAGCCATTCTTCTTGTTTCTCCGTAACCCTGGGATGGCTGCTTTCCTGAATGCCATTGACATACCAGGCCTTTGGCATGCATTATCTCTAACCCTCACAACAATGATTATCTTACAGGTAATGGAAGTGAGGTTTGCAGAGATCAAATAACCCGACTGGGGTACACATCTACAATCAGAGCCATGATCCGAATTCAGACTGGACTGGCATCAGAGCCCATGCTCTTTCTAAATGCTCCTTACACATTTCAGATGTCACAACTGCACTCACTTTGATGCTGTGGAAATGGTTGGATGAAGAGGGTGAAGCCTTTAGGGAGGTTTCTAACCAGGAGTTCCTATGGGTGGGTTCGGAGAAGGTGAGCAAGGGAGAGGCTGGTCCATGGACCAAAAATAGGTGAGAAAAATTCAAAGATTGGCTAAGCCCACCAGGGTATTCACATAGGACAGTGAGTATAGCAGGGAGAAATTAAGACCTAAAACCTAATTATAGAACACTGATCGGGTATCTGTTAGTGAGAGCATCATCCTGATATGCCAAGGTTGCAAGTTTGATCTCCAGTGAGAGCACATACAAGAACCAACCAGTGAATACACTAATAAATGGAACCAGCAAACCTCTCTCTCTCTCTCAAAATAAAATCAACTAATCAATAAATAACAGAGAGATCCATGAAGAAAAGTGAAGTAATCTAAACAGAAAAGACCATATTTCTAGGATGGCCAAGAAAAGCTCAGAAAAATACTCTGGTCTTAACTCAGAGACAGGGACCAAATTAACCGTTGGTTTCACTCAGTTAAAAATGTGCCTATTTTACACTCTAAGGCTCTTACCCCTTAGATCTCAGCTTCAAGTTCGAATGTGCAGGGAATCATGTCTGAGCCATGCCCTCCAACCCCCATCTAAATTAGCTCCTGTTTCTTTAACTCTGCCATACTTCCTTTGACAGCACTTAGCACACACAGTCTGTAATGATAAACTCCATGTGTCATTTACTTGCCTTGCCCACTAGACTTTAAGCTGTGGGAGGCAGGAACCACATTTCTCTGTGTATCACTTCAGCCCCGGAAGCAAGCCCAGGACAGGGAGAGAGGAGTAGTATTTGGCGAATAAGTGGATGTGGCTCTCTGAACATCACTACAGCAGCAGACTGTGTGGAGTGGAGGTGGCAGAGAGCCACAGGACGCGTTCGGCAGAGAAAACCACTGACGCAGAGGATGAAAGCTATTTGAAAAAGCTGTCCCTGGCAGACAGCAGCAAAATGTTATCCAAGTATCTGTGAACACTGGCCAGGTGGCCTCCTGCCTGTTTCGCCGAATCTGCCGCGTGTCCAGATGGCCAGGCCAGCACAGTCTGCTGGGTGCTGGCAGGGAAACCACATCCAGCTTCTCTGTTCTCACTGTCTGACGTTTGTCATGACCCGTACCTCAGAGGTCATAGCTCTGTTTACAGATAACTTGAAAGTGTCAGGTACTTAAGGTGGAAAAGTCCATTTTAAGGACACTCATACATTAGATTTTAGGGCGGAAATCTACATAGGGAGAGCATCTTAAAAATAGAGGTAGACCTCAAAAATGCAGTTCTGGAAATGTCTATAATAAAAGAAAAGAAAGCCACTTTCCAGAGGAAATTGTTAATAAACAACTAAATATTTATGATGAGGGCCTCCTATTTTTATTTCACATTTTCTGCTGCACATTCTTCACTAGGCCAAGGTAAAGAAGCTCACTGGATTTCTACTGCTTTCAGATCTGACATCTGCAGAAATTTCTGTGGGCCCCATGTGGGAGGAGCCAGAGTTTCCCAGGAGGCTTCATCTGAAGTTTCTCCTGTGTTAGGCTTCCGTGACTTGAATGTGAGAGAAACACTGCAGTTTGCGATTTAATCACAAATCCTCCCATCAGCCAAGACCGGTTTGGCTCAATGGATAGAGCGTCAGCTTGGGGACTGAAAGGTCCTGGATTCGATTCCGGTCAGGGACATGTACCTCGGTTGTGGGCACATCCCCAGTGGGGGATGTGCAAGAGGCAGCTGGTCGATGACTCTCTCTCTCATCTATGTTTCTAACTCTCTATCTCTCTCCCTTCCTCTCTGTACAAAAATCAATAAAATATATTAAAAAAAAAAATCCTCCCATCACCTTATCAAAAGGCTCTACCATCGGGATGAGGAGCTTTCAGAGATGGTTTCTCAAAGAACTAGCCAGTTGTTTCAAATAAAACAAAAGAATCTGCCACTTAGTACATGTTTCTGGTCTAACAGGAAACACGATGTGGTTAGGAGGGCCCTAGGCACTTTTGTGGGAAAGTCCTGGCGGTCTGTCTCCTGTGTTCCCCGGGACCAGGAAAGGACAGGGAGGGCCTGAGAGCCGGGGGCAGCAGAAACAGAACCGGAGATGTATCTGTTCACGTTTCCAAACTTTCTAATCGCTGAGAAGCCCTTACTGAAGGGGTTGAGGGAGAGTGAGTTCTCAAAAGAGAAGCTGTGTCAGAGAGAAACACTGAGAACCTTCGTACCCAAGAAGCTGAAGCCCACGCGAACATGACAAGGGTTAGGAGTAATTTATTTTTTTAAAGTTCCTAATTACATCACTAGTGTTTGTTTGCTTTATGTATTATTTCTAATACAATCTTCTTTCATGCTTGTTTAATGTTTTGCCATTTCAATGAAGAGATCTGATCTTGACCCACTGGGAATGGAAAAGTACTAGGCCAACTCGGGGGGGCAGACTGGCAGGAGAGGGCCCTTCCTTGAAGCTGCTGGGTGGGTCACCTATCCTGTGGGGACAGCTTTTTGGTAGGCGATAAGCCCTGCTCGGCAGAAACTGCAGCATCAGGAGGAGATAGCCATGAAATAGCAAATTTTATTCTTCCATCCAGATAGCAAGCTTCAAAAGGCAGGGGCCAGGTCTAATTCTTTTAAAAGAAGAGAAACAGAGGTGTGAAGGGAGGAAATAAGAGTGAGAAGGAATAGATGAGGGAGTGAAGTTTCTTCAGGGGTTGCGTCAGCATTTACAGGAGCTCCTAGGTGCTCAGCACTCAGTTATTTCTGGAGTACCCATGGAGCATCCTTCCAGACTGATCTTCAAAATGGATTTTCTTGAAAAACTTTTACATAATTAATTTTATGATGATTTTTATTTGTAGATAATATATTTTTCTTTAAACAATATATTTTAAAATAATATATTTTTGTATTTAAAACATTTTAAAGTAAAAATTTAAATATCTTTTTTCTGGTTATTAAAAAGTTATAATGTATATTGTTATCTAACCAAGGGTGGTTAAATAATTTAAGGTCTTCTTATAAAAGATTAGTAATTTTAAAATATAGGTATAAAGAAAAGTATAAAAATTAGATTTACTCTTATCACCCAGAGATATCTAGTAGTAACATTTTTTTTTAACAAGGAAATTGCTACTTTAAAAATATATATATATTTTATTGATTTTTTACAGAGAGGAAGAGAGAGAGATAGTTAGAAACATCGATGAGAGAGTCATCAACCAGCTGCCTCTTGCACACCCCCTACTGGGGATGTGCCCACAACCAAGGTACATGCCCTTGACTGGAATCGAACCGGGACCTTTCAGTCCACAAACCAACGCTCTATCCACTGAGTCAAACCGGTTTCGGCATAGTAGTAACATTTTAATGCATTTCTTTGTGGGCTTTTTTCCTGTCCAGGAATATTCTAGCCTCCCCTTAAGGATGGCCCTATGCCAGCCTTATCCTTACAATTCAGATAGATACAAACATTACACAGACATTAATTTACTGCCCTAGCTGGTTTGGATCAATGGATAGAGCCTCAGCCTGTGAACTGAAGGGTCCCAGGCTCGATTCCAATCAAGGGCACATGCCTGGGTTGTGGAGCCGACCCCCAGAGGGGGTTGTGCAGGAGGCAGCAGATCAATGATTCTCTCTCATCACTGATGTTTCTCTGTCTTCCCCTTCCTTTCTGAAATCAATAATATTTATATATGTATTTTTAAAAATTATCCTTAAAAAAAAGAAATTTACTTTAAAAATACATATACTATATCATTATCTTCCCATTGTTTTAAAAATCTATTTAGAAAAGACATTAGACAAATATACTTCTGTTCTCCCCTTCTATTGGACATATACATTACTTCTATTTTTTATTCTTATAAGTAACACTGCAGTAAATAGCCTTGTATGTATATTTTTGACCAAATCTCTGATACATATATAGGGTGTCCCCCCAAAATGTGTATACACATACACTTTAAATAATTATAAAGGCAGTGTTTATTAAAATACATCTCATTTTCAAAATTGATTTGTCAGCTGTTAAAACGTGTATACATTTTGGGGGGGACATCTGTAAATATGTCAGTTTCTTCATTTATAAAATGGGAGATTAAAATAATAAAGTCATTAGGAACATTAAATGAGATAATGCTTAGAAATCACTAATATAGTGCTTGCTACCTAGTAGGTAGTCAGTAAGTATTTCATTTCATTATTTTTTAAAACTTCTAAAGGCTTACCAAAAAAACTACCCACACAACTTTCAATTTACAGCTCTAGCTTATTTCACGGAACGCCCACTGAGGCCAACTGCTTAAAACATTTTTCATTTAGTTCACCATCTCAAGAAAGCTATTATTGGATAAAAGATTCAAAATGACAGAATCGGTTATGAGTTAGGGCCATTTTGAAAGCTAACAGGGAACCAAGAATTTCATCACAGCACTAACTCACCACTCTAGTCTTATTAATGCAAAACTGTAACGGCTGCGGTACGGTGGGGTGCGGCCCTCAGCCACTGGAGACGCCTCTTCCTTCTGGGGTTCTGACTCTCTTAGTCACAGACTTTTCATACCAACACCTTACAAACAGGCTAGCTGCGTGAGGTCTGCGGTTAAAGGGGCCACCTCTCTCCCACCCCGACTGGGCTGCTTTGCTACCTTCCGTATCCGGCATTCTGAGCAGCACAGTCTTTGTTTTATAATAGTTCCTATCTCTGTTGGTGCTAACTCCTTCAGCTTCCACCTCTCCCCGTTAGTACTGTTTCCTTCCCAGTAGCACTGTTTCCTTTCCTTTCCTTTTTGTTTTTCTCCCACCTTACTGTGGTTAAAACTTGTGAGCTGCAAAATCAACTGTGTACATGGGGAAATGAAGTTGTGGCATAAACCATTTTTTAAACATTGCTAAAATTCTTTCAACCTTAATTCCATCAGATTTATATTACTCATGGATTTGTATTTTAAACAGTGCCAATGCATAGTTAGAGCACAATAATGTCTCTTCTAAGTCTCAGTTTTTCTGATCCACAGTATTTGTTGGGAATGTTCACTTAAAAATATTTCTTTTAATTGAATTGAGAAAGAGAAGGGAGGGAGGGAGGGAAGGAAGGAGGGAAGAAGGGAGGGAGAGAGGAAGGAAAAGAAAGGGAGAGAAACATCAATTTGTTGTTCCACTTATTTATGCCTGCATTGGTTGCCTCTTGTATATGCCCTGCCTGGGGATCGAACCACAGCCTTGGCGTACTGGAACCACACTCTAACCAATTGAGCTACCTGGCCAGGGCTGGGAATGTTGACTTTTTTAAAGTCAGAAAATAGAGTGATAACTTTAGATCTACAAAAGATTCCTTCCACGTTGCCAACTCTTTTTGAAAACTCCAGCAATAGAAAACAGAAGTCCTAAAGCTGTCAGTACTGTTGGAAAGAACAAAGGAAGTTAAACCATGTAATGTCTTCCTAGCAACAGCTGAAGTTTATTCCACACAGACTACTGAACTGCTTTCCCTTGCTTTATTCTCACATCATTCCACGAGGCAGCCTTTTTCTACCTATCCATAGGGTAAGAACTGCCTGGGTCACATGGTTAGGAAATGGCAATGCTAGGATTCACACACACTCACACACTCACACACACACACACACACACACACACACACACACACAGGCAGTGTGGGCGCTTAGCCACTAAGAGGCTCGTTGACCTTACAATATGTGTATCTTAATGTGCATACGTCACATAAATCCTTTACATTTGCTGTAGATGAGCATTCCTGGTGGCGGAGGCTCTCAGGTGACTATGCTGGCAGGCCCCTTGCCTTAGGAAATTACAGGTGCAGAGAAGAGACACGGGAGTGCTGAGTTATAAAAGAGTGGGTCACACATGCTGCTTAGAAGCAACCCAAATCCTTCTCCAGGGCTGGCGTTTCCCGCCTGCTCCAATCAGCACACGCAGTCCCCTCTCCCCTACACCCAACCATGCATCCACCAAGCAGCTGCCTCCCTGGCAAGTACAGAGGGAGCCTGGGCGGGACTGTGGTGAGAGCAACTGGGTCCTTGCCCTTGAGGAGGTAGCCACAGTCTTATTTCTTCCTACTGAATGATGAGTGTACCTGATCCAAGTCATTCCGCAGAGCAATCTTGCTGGTTACAAGTTCATGGGCGAGGTCATCATTCTCTTGTTCCAGCCTCATGCTGGCCTCCTGTAATCTCCGGTTCTCCCTCTGCAGAAGATAAGCAACAACCAGAGGGGGGTGTTAGTGCCTGAGGTACCAGCAGCAAACAGATGGGTGGTGAGGAAAAAACAAGCAGCAACGACTAGTGAACTTGAAGGTGTAGAGGAGAAGGCGCAGTGGCACAGGAGGGCAGGACAGCTGTCTGGGAAACAAACGGTGAGTTAAGCGAGCGGTGCGGAGGCGGCACTCTACCCCGTGAACTTACCCCTGCCCCTAAACCCCCAGGCAGGACTTCATTATTAAAAATGTGCTACAAAAAAGCAAAATTTCCACGCGTACCCCCAATCCGTGAGGTTTCCACAGGCCTAGAATGCACACACAGGCAGTTCTTTGTTGGAAACATGCATAATAACCCTCCCTGGCCTCGGGGGAAACCACAAGACATAGTAGGGCCAGACGGAATAGGGGGAAACCACTAGGAAGGGCTTCATGTTGTTTTTCCAATATCAGGGGTCAGGATGCTTGGGTTCGTGACTTTGCTATATGACATTTTCACTCTTTGGGTAAAAACATGTTTACTTTTCTGAACACCAATTTTTGTGTTATAAGAACAATTGTCCTTACGTTTGCTTTGTTGTTGTTTTTTAAATTTCAGATTAAAGGATTCCGGGTAAAATACATTACTGAGCTATTTTTCCCCCTTGAACTCCCTGGGGGGGAAAAAAAATCTGAATCAAAGTTATATGATGAGAGAACCAAGTCACATTGTTAGGAATCGAGGTCTCCCCTAAACTAGCCATTATGAATTGTGTACATTCCCATCAGAATAGCAATGTGGTGCTTTCCATTCCAAAGTATCAAAAGTGCTTTTTTTCTGTTATTGTTTGCAATTACAGGAGACTCCAGAGAGCTGACAGAAAAGATTTCAATGTGATGACACCTTCCTGTTTTTCACATTTACACTCCTAGCAGAGCCTTCTGCAAGGGTGGCAAAAACTCAGACAAAGCAGTGTTGCACAACCAGGAGATAAATCTATGTCCTGAACGAGATTTCGTCATGGCATACTCTGTGTACGTGTGAGTGTGTGTTTGTGGCGAATTTTGTCTTCTATAGGACAACCTAGGGTTTGTTATATGGAAAGAAGAAAACATAATTTCTTTTTTTCTTTTAGTTTTTTCAAAGAAGGGCTAAGAAACATGGTACAGGCAATGCCTGCAGCTGGAGGCAGTGGATTCAGAAACAGGCCGGCAGAAAAGCTCAAGGCCAAACCAGTGCTTGACTCTAACCAGCCAACAGGGTTCCTCCCTGTCCTCTCTTCTGGGGAAGGTAGGCTTGGGTAATCGGGGAATGCTAAAACATTTTTTAAAAAGACACCTACTGAAAAAGATCTTAAAACCCCAAATCGCTTAGCTATTTCTAAATAATTTCATGGATTCCATGCAGTATTAAAATAGAAATGAAAAATATCTAATAACAGAAGAAATGCTTGTGCTTTCTTGAAGAAAAAGAGCTTAGTAAATGGAAAAATCCCATTTTTACAACAGCATAAAAGATATCAACCATGGATAGTGGATTATTTTTACTGTTGTCTTTGTGATATTTAAAGTTTTCTAAGTTTTCCACAATGGATATAGAATATGTATTTTAAAGGTTTAAGAGGTTGTTTAAAAAATAAAAAGCAATTTAGAATTTCAATTCACTGGAAATGATAAAAATGTCAAAAGAAGAAATTTTTTTAAGTCCATTCTTGCTAGATACTCATGTTCTGCATGAAGCCGCACTGGATCTCCTTTGTGACTGAAATTCAATGTAACTCTCAAAAGTGCTTGCTGTCTGGCCAGAAGCCCTTTGTTTATTCCTGAAGAGACAGCGTTTTTATGTATAGGGGCAAGTTGTCCTCATCCAAATAAATCTATCTGACCCCTCCACCCACAGACACTCTGCCCTCTCACAGAAGCACAATTACATGGAGACTGAAATAATGGAGAAGCCAGGGCCTGTGCAGCTGAATCTTTCAGTCTTTGGGGAAACGATCCAAATTCCAGCAAGGCCTGGAGCGTGCATCTTTCACTCCAATATATCTAACTACTGCCCCTATTTGTGGAAACAACTTACATACTTGTCAAAAACTCAGATTTAAAAAGAGATTCAGAAACCTCTCTCATAAATGCCCTTCTTGCCAGGAACAGGCTAGCAAACACCAGCACAGTTTCCTCAACGTATTTCACAATGCAGAAGGCATTTTTCTCATTTCTTGATAAATCCTTTCCAAAGGGACCCTGGTAAGATTACTACTACATTATCTATTCCTGAGTTAAAGTCCTATTTCTACTGAAATTGTACTTGCAGGACTCCGAGGTACAAAAATCTCTCCTAGTTGTTTACATCACACTTATCTGGCATAAGAGAAAATGTTGCAGCTACCAGTTTTTCAGGTTACATGACATGCTTAGAATCGAGTTAAAATAACCTCCAGGTAAAGTCACACGGTGTGAGTGGAAAAGGACTGTTCAAAGTATTCAAGAAGCACAGGTCGTTATACTCTTCCTATGGATCAGAGCTGCGTCTGATGGTTATATTACATGCAAAAGGGGTTATGAGCTGAGCTAAAATTCTGACTGGTTAAGTTCTCATTCCAAGACAGAGGTAACTCAAATGCTTCTTCACAGACACACATCTGAGGGGTGGAGGGCTATTAGGGAGAAATCATGTGTCTGAGGGTCCCTAAAAAGCACAACAGCCGAGGGCACACCTGGCGTTTGCTTTAGCAGGAAGCTCAGTCCAGTGCCTGCGAAGCAAGCAGCAGAGTGGGGAGTGTGCACTCCGGCTCTGCACTCACAGACGTGGGGAAAGCAAGCCAGAGGGAAAATGCAGTATCCTCCTCCACGCATGACCCTCCTGGCCTCTGAGATGGACATTTCCCATGAAGAGGCGCTTGCCCGCACTCACCAAGGGTTAAAGAGGTTGCATCACTTAGCTGTCTTTTCCAGCCTTTCCCGAGGAGCCAAACTCACTTTGGAACTAACTGATTCAAGACAGAGTTCACCTTCACACCAGAACGGAGAAGAAAGTTTCCTTTCAATGGGCTTGGGAAAGGTAGTAATCTTGATTGGCTCATTTGGAAACATTAGCAAGGGCTGCCCACCTGAGAGAGAGCTGAACTCAGCCCCAGGCACCTCAGTCAGTCCGGAGACAGTCACGTGTCCTACGTTTGCCCAAGCAGATGTGCCGAATGCTCAGAGCCTGCAGACCGCACAGGCACATCGCTTCCCTGGCCTCACAGCACAGACTCCGGGAGGCACTGCCTCCATCACCCCTCACTCGCTCATCACGCTGTCTGGAACATGCCCCACCTCGTACAACTGGACAACAAGCTTTCCCATCCGTCCCCTCCTCTCCTACACAGGAACGCACAGCTGGGAGAGTGCGGTAAGCAACTTTTGGGAGGAGGATACTGCATTTTCCAGAGAGACAGACGCAGCTATTACACACATACATAAATTTTAAAAACTTACCTCCTCAAAAGCCATAGACCAACTACTGTTTTCAATCATAGGTACAAAGACAATTGGAAAAAAAAAAAAAAAGAAGATCCAATGAAATTGCACACCTACGAATACATTTAGGGAATGGCAGGAACAGGAACAGACACTTGTCAATGCTCTTTGGCTTAGATTTGCTGCTTTTCCTTAAGAGTGTCACATACTCTTAAGTTCTCTCTGGGACTGCGAGCATTCGATGGAAGAAAGTGCACTTGAGGCAGCCAGAGGGCAAGTCACAACTCAGAAAGACCAAGACTGAGTCACGAAACTCCTCCCTCTCCAGGAACTATTTGCAGTCTGCATGACGATGAAAATGCTGTGTGTAACTATTACCAACTACGGTGTAAGTTGTTTATGCTGTGTTATCAGAGCCGGGTGGAGGGAATTTCCTTAGGCGACAAGGTTGGAAATCTTGCAAAATACTTCATCTTCAGGAAATAAATAGAATGGCGTTGCTGGGCAGGGAAATGCAAAAGAACACTGGGTTCCAGCCCTCCTCCGAGTCTGAGAACTGAAGTTTGGGTGGAATAGTACAAGGGATGGTGAACATCATTTTTTCCAAGATGAAGAAACAGAAAAATGTGAGCTGGCAATCAAAAGAAAATAAACTGAGTCTTAAAGGAAAAAATGATGGAGAAGGAGGCAGCTTCATAAACTCCAGCTGTGTTTGGGGTGTGTTGTCCGCTGCTGTAATGAATTCTTGGCATGTTTTTGAAGACATTTAAGGGCCAGCAGAAAATGTTTTCCTAAAAGATCCAGTGCAATTTTATGAGCAACAGCACACTCAGTTCTCACTTATTTTGCTTATGGATACCTCTATCAAAAGAGGTGATAATCATCACATTCAAATTTTATAGGTTTTTTTTGACATTCAAAGACAAATGCTTATACAGAAAATGCTAAAATGTCTACATTGTCTGTAAATGAAGATTTTAGAAAGAAAACCTTGATATTTAGAATTGTTTTAGGCTCTTCCTTCACCCAACATATCCAATTTTATCTGGCTGGTAAAAAATTTAAAAATTTGAAATGTCAAACTAAAAACAAGATTTGTCAGTAATAAGTAAGGGCAGTTGGCAAACCAGACTGCATTTCTTTTAGCATTAAAATAAAATCTTAGATTATAGCACTGGGGATAGCAAACTTAATGTAAATGACCAGGTAGTAAATATTTTCAGCTTTGCAGGCCATATGGGCTTTGACACTAATCAACTCTGTCATTACATGCAAAAGAAACAATAACCAAACAAATGGATGTGGCTGTGTTCCAATAAAACTTTATTTACAAACACAGGCAGTGGGTCATATCTGGCCCACAGGCCATGGTTTGCAAATCCCTGCTTTATTCTAGCTTACAAATCAAATTTTAAAAAAGCAAATGGTCCTGGCCACCTTGGTTCAGTGGTTGAGCAATGACATATGAACCAGGAGGTAGGGGTTCAATTCCCAGGTGGGGCGCATGCCCAGGCTGCAGCTCACCCCTCAGTGGGGGGCATGCAGGAGGTGGCCGATCAATGATTCTCTCTTATAATTGATGTTTTTATCACTCTCTCCTCCTCTCCCTTCCTCTCCAAAATCAATTAAAAAAATACATATTTTTAAAAAGCAAAACAAAGCAAATGAGTTGCAAAGGATGTAGAAATACATGAGTGTGACACATAACTTAGTCATACCACTTCAACAGAAAATAGAACTTACTGAAAACTAAAAGAAGTTTTGGAGAATTCATTCTGAAGATCATCAATAAATATATTTAGGAATTCTTAATAACTCCCAATGTTAAGTATAACCAATCAGCAGACGGCATCATCAGGAGCCACCAGCTCTTTCTTAGCTAACCTGCTCAGGAAGCCTCAGAAGTCAAGGGCTTGTCTTCTCCACCATCCAACAATGGCAAGTTTTCCAAACTCAGAAAGATTGAGTGGCAGTCTTCTGAAGTTTATCGTTGTTTCATAATTATCTTAAAAACCACCCCCTTGACTATAACTATTCATGCAAAGCATATTATTTTATGACATAACTATTTCCAAAAGCCAACCACACTCTCTGTTGTCCTTTCTCCCATAAATATGGGTACACAGAGTCTATAGTCATTAATTAGCTCCATTCTAAGGTCTCCTTCCCACAGCATGGCTTCTGCACAGGTACCTCTATGTGAATCAGGGTTTATGAAAGAAAGATGGTAGGCCAGGCACCCATCCTCCTGGAACACTTTGCTTGAATTTTCTTGATATATAATTCACATAAAATTCACAAAATATGATATAATTCACCTTTTAAAATACACTCTTCAGTGGTTTCAGTGTATTCACAAAGTCATGCCACCACCACCACTAATTCCAAACCATTTTCATTGTGTGTAGGGTTCTACAATTCAAATTTATACTAACACCATTTTGTCCCTTTCATTATAGTTGAGATTTCAGTGTTAGTAGATATTAGATACCAGTGAGAATAGTGAAATAACCTGAGAGTGCAGATATTTGCGTATAAAAATAACCCCCAAGAGCCCAGCCAGCATGGCTCAGTGGTTGAGTGTTGACCTATAAATCAGGAGGTCACGGTTCGATTCCCGGTCAAGGTACATGCTGGGACCGTGGGCTTGATCTCCCATAGGGGGCGTGCAGGAGTCAGCCAATCAGTATCCTCTCTCATGTTGATGTTTCTATCTCTTTCCCTTCCTCCCTAAAATCAAATTTAAAAATATATATTTTAAAGTAATTAAAAAAATAAACTCAAACACACATTTAGACTGTTAGAGCAAGAATTGGACTGCTGAGAGTTATGTCTGTTTTGTTGAGTCTCTAATCCCACCTCCGACTTACTGCAATAGTTCTTTGGTCTACCACCATGCTCAAGAGAAATAGCTTCAAACTGAAACATCTCTTAAAATACCTTACTGCATGACATATCTGAACTTTTTTTTTTAATTGACACAACAGTCCTAACTCTCTTGCATGTAGTAAACCAGAGGTAAAAAACGGCATTGTAAGCAGTATGGATCCCAATAGTGGAAAAGGGGTTGTTAGTTCACTGGTATAAGTTTTGACTCAAAGCCTCAAAGATCTTCCCAAATTATTCTTAAGAATTTACATGTCTAGGTTCCCAGGTCAAGATCTATGACTTGCCGAAATCGGTTTGGCTCAGTGAATAGAGCGTCTGCCTGTGGCCTGAAAGGTCCCAGGTTTGATTTTGGTCAAAGGGCTTGGTTGCCAGCACATCCCCAATAGGGGGTGTACAGAGGCAGCTGATTGAAGTTTCTTTCTCATTGATGTTTCTCTCTATTCCTCTCTCTTCCTCTCTGTGAAAAATTAATAAAATATGTTTAAAAAAAAGATCTATGACTTATGATGTTTCTAGGACCTAGATATTATTCTTGATAGGATTAAATTTAGAAGATGCTAAAAGGTATTTTCTAAGACTATCCTAATATAATTAAACTATTATAATTAGATTCTTAAACTAGAAATTGAATGTGAGACAAATCTGTTGATTGAAAACTATGTTGTCAATTGTCACCTCAAAAATATAATGTAATTTGCCGAAACCGGTTTGGCTCAGTGGTAGAGCGTCGGTCTGCAGACTGAAAGGTCCCAGGTTCAATTACAGTCAAGGGCATGTACCTTGGTTGTGGGCACATCCCCAGTAGGGAGTGTGCCAGAGGCAACTGGTCAATGTTTCTCTCTCATCGACATTTCTAGCTCTCTATCCCTCTCCTTTCCTCTCTGTAAAAAAATCAATAAAATATATTTTTAAAAAATATATAATGTAATTTGAGGACTATCATTTTACCAATTATATCTATTGCCAATACAAAGGTCTAGACTATTAAAGGTTGAGCTATTTGTTAGGAGATGTATTGACCAGCTATTCCAATGATACAAAACAAACAGTTCTAAAAGGGGCCTGATGTGTACACAGGAGGACACAATACTCAAGCTAAAGAACAATATTTGTTTTCAAAACAAAAACAAAGGTTTAATTCTATTTTGATCCCACAATAAAAATTATACACATTGACAGTGCTGTATGGTAAGCATTTTCTTAAATAATATTATGCATTGTACTACTTATTTGTATGTATCTGCTTGGACACAAAAAGACTTTAAAAATAATAACAAATTTAGTCCCAGGCAGATTTTAAATATACAATTTTAGTCTTCCATTTCCCTATCGTCTATTTTAAAGCACTCTTCCCAGATTTTATTTATAACCATGGCAGCAATAAGAAAACTAGGTTGACGCAAGCAGTAGGAGGGTTTCAGGTTGGATCCTCAGAAATGTTTCCTAATTACCACTTTAGGTCTTCTAAAGCAGTGCGCTACATGAGCTAATTCTGAGGGATGGTGGCTAGCTTCACACCTCACTCCAGGAGCACCTTGTATGCTGCAGTTCCCTACCAGAGCAGTATGTGGGACTTCACTATCAGTTCTGCAGCCAGTTCTATGAACAAGAGGGAAAACATGCTGATATTAGATTATTGGCTAGCAATGCCTGGGAGACATATGAGGAAGATCTGCAAGAGACTGATGCATAAAAGGTGGTGCTTCTCTAGTTATACTTGGGTAAGTGGGAGCAGTAGGCCTATTAAGGCTAACACGACCATTTATTGCACACCAACCATGTGCTGGGTCTTAAAATACGCCATTCCCCATCTTCTCAACAGTCCTTCCAGGCAATGTGTACACTGCATGTTTTGCAGAGAGGAAGAGGCTCAATAGTTAGTCCAACACAATGAACAATGGCATAGAGATTAAAAACTCCCAATTTGCATTCCGCATCCTGGCCCTTTGATTTTGGAAAGCCAGGATTCAAACTCACATCTGACTACAAAATCTATATACTCCTTCTACAGGGGCCCCTCCAGGGACACCGCATGCTATTCAACTTAGCAACGATGTACCATGTGACTGTAGATGCCCGTGCCCAGCTCTCTGACCACATAAAGGCAACCTTAGTTCCAAAAGTGGAAGCCATGCCACCCTGAGTGATTTAATTCATAATACTACCCAGTGCTTTTTTTTTTTGGCAGGATATTGTAACATTGCTCACTGTACAAATACAATATTCTCTTACCCTGATGTACTGATGTGGAGAGAAAGGGAACAATGCATCTGTTATATTATTTCAGTTGGAAAAAGTAAGTTTGAAATCAGTCATTGCATCATGGGAACAGTATTGCTAATTACCAATGAAGAAATCTATCTTTTGTGAATAGCCTGATTTACAAAAACAACAACAACACTATCACTTATTTAACTAAGATGTTCAGATGAAATCATTTTGATTCTGAAACTGAATACTGTAGTGAAATGTCACTGTGACTCATAAATTTATTTGTGAAATAAACGTGGCAACAAACACCATGACTGTGTTCAATACAACCTTTGTGGTTTTTATTTGTCCTTCCAAATAAGCTTGTATTTTTCACATTTGCTACAGACACAGGTGAGTCTGAAACATTTTCGTGCCAGTCTTGGAACAGATCACCTTCTAAAAGTCTTTGTGGATGTGACCGTGTACAGCTAAAACAGTACTTTGCCATTTTCCTTTTTCTCTCGTTTTTGAAAGTAGTCGAGAGCCACTTTCTTTCCTTTTCCCTCTCTTTCTCTCAGCTTCTTAGGCAGATTCCCAGTATAAATGCAACAGATGGCGTTACCTATAAATATACAAACTGAAAGAAAAGAAATATTACGGTGGGCTACTCAGGAAGTGTGCTGAAATGAAAATAGCCCTGGACATTTAACATGGCCAGAGTGGCTAAATGAAGCAGGAAGGAACAGAAGGACTTGAACTTGCCACAACTGCTGCTAAGGGTCACGAGGGCCCTGCTCCGTAGGTGCTGTGTCTCCCCTACCTTGTATCTGTCCATGGGGTCCTCCTGCTGCAGCTGACTCTCGCGCATTGTCTGATATTCCTTCTCATACTTCTTCAGCTTCTTGGTCGATACCTGCGGGGGGAGGGGAGGTCAGAGGAACAGCATGTGAAATGAGGAAATGATTTAGGTAAACATTCTCTGAGGAACCTCTTGAGGTTCCAATCAAGTCTCTGGCGTTCTGATGGCACTCGCCCAACTCAAAGTTAGAGGGAAGCAATCTAGAGTTGCACTCTCTCTGAAAGTCCATATGGTGATACTGTAGGCTTTGTGGGTCCTGCGGTGTAGGTCACACCTACTCCACTCTGTTGTTACTGCACAAAAGCTGCCATAGGTGATGCATAAACAAATGAGTTTGGCCCTGTTTTAACGAACATTTTTTTGGTTTTTGTGTGTGTGTTTTTGTTTTTACAAAACAGGCTGTAGTTTGTCCATCTCTGTTCTACAATACTGCTGATAAGCCATACCCATTTTCTTGATAATGTATTTAACAGTGTTATTAATTCTAACTACTTTAATTTAAGTAAAATTCACTCATGGCTTCTAGCATGTTGAAAATGACATATCAACAACAAAAAAAGCGACATTTTTGAAATGGAGTTATTAACAGACAGAAAGAAGACTATAAAGCTCATCACTGAAAGTACAAAGGAATATAGAATCACTGTGCTGAATGAGATAATATGAAATCATATAAACAGCTCATCTATTTCTTGCTAGAATTATGTAATCTTTAAAAGACATAAAGTAGTCTAATCTTTTAAATCTGGGAAAAGACTAAAATCTCACAGAATCTTAGGATTTAAAAAATAAATAAATAAGCATTTGGCACTGGACAGAAGTATCGATATTTCAATATTTTTTGCAACTGAATATCAGTACCAGGGGTTCTAGGCTGCACATTAGGCCTGAGAGGAAGTATTTTCTATACAGTTCTGAAATGGATCCACTTACCGATGATGCAAGTATATGTGATAAGCTTGCTCCTAGAGAATTTCTCTTAAAACTACCTATTTTTATATTCAAACTATTACTGAGATTATCTTTATGTGAAAAGGAGTGTCCTTTTAAAAATCAACCTTGCTACTTATATGTTAAGAGGTTCATTTCAAAGTGAATTTAAAAAATAAATGCATTAAACACCCTCAATAAGCTAATCCTTTCCCATCTGGCTGAGATTCCAGCATGTTTGGCTACAGCTTGCTCAGGGAAACAGAACAAGTTCCCAGAACAATATGTTGCTAGGAAACTGTCCAAGCTTATTTATCTTGTGCTGTGGGGTGATATTGAGCATCCACCTGTGATTGGCACAAAGTGAAAGTGGCGAAAGGGCAGAGGAGGAAGACACAGAAGAGCTGATAGGAAACTCCTGTTATTTATGACACACAAAAAATGGACAGTTCCAGTTTCTAAAACTATAATCTAGGATAAAATTAATTCTATTTTAGTGACTGTCATGCTGAGTTTGAAAATTTTCTCATTAGAGAAAGAAATTTAAAAAATGTCTTTAGTATGTAGGCGTAATTGAAGGAACACAAAGTCATCAAGAATTATTACAATGGAAACAACCTATTATCCCAAGAGTACTGTAGGTATCTTTCTCCTTAAGTTAAATAAATTTAATGCAAGTGTGCACTGGAGGTTGAGTAAGAAACACCAATTCTTTTAGATGTCTACCTAACTTGGGGTCCTGTTCCACCAACTACCCATGTTCTGCCTGTCCAATAATTCCAATTTGGCTAAATTCAGAAAATGTCCTTAAAGAATATTCACAATTGCTTGAAAGTTCAACTGATAATAAACTTACAACTTCAAAATGGTTATATATAGGACATGGGAGTTAAACAGGCTTGCATTGGAAACCATGCTCTGTCAGATACTAGCTTTGTAATTTTATAAGCATATCATTTAAATTTCCTACTGGAAGCTTCAATTCCTTTTTTAAAAATGGAGGTAACACAAATGACCATCTTTTTTCATTGAGCACATAATGCACCACAGCACTGAAACAACACTTAATCCATTTTATGTTGCCTTTGCCTCACAAAGTTGAGCTGGGTTTTCCATACCCATTCCATAACATGAGCACTTTGAGAAAGGCAAAGTAACATGCACAGGGACCACAGTCATGACTAGTCCAACAGGCCTTTCTGACACCAAAGGTAAAGCCTTAACTGCAATGGTCCCTGCCTGTCTCTTCCACTGCCGGTCACCCAGCCAGCACACAGATTTAACCCGAGGACCCTTGCTAAGCCTCATTAGTAGCTGACTGAAACCAATGAACTAATCAACAACAAGATGATGGAGAGCTATTTTAACACTTGACTCGGAGATAATACACCTAAGATATGTCATATTACCCAGCAGAAAGTATGAGTTCAGAAAAATATAAACACCCTCCCCCTGAATTTTCTGGGCAAGCTAGAAAAAGGAGAAGGTCACACAGACCATGGGGTGGCTGCACCGGGAACTTAACTCTGGGAGAAGCCTGCTTAAAATTCCATACAGTATTAAGAGGGGATAGATTGAAATGATATATTTTCCTCCTCTTCCAGCCTTGTGAAAACAGGTATTGAGGCCTAAAGCACCCAGGAGATTTACAGCTTAAAGCAAATCACCTTACGTTATGGACTCAGTCCTGCTTAGATGGAACAGTTTTTGAGGCCAATGACTTCACTGAGAATGCCCTTTCTTCTCTATGGTATTGTTTCTGATGCTTCTTTAGGATTTCTCTCTGTCCCCACTGCTTCATGTTTCTGTGTGTACAGATAATCTGCGTTCTCTTTCCCCCACATGCAACAGTTGCAGTGGGATCACAAGCATTCCTCCTATGGTTTTCAAATCTGTTTTTCTCAGATTCTTTGCACAAGAGAGAGAAAGAGTCTTTGGTTAGAAATGTATGGTTTACAATTTTTATTACAGTGTTCAAAAAGTAGAATGACTACTAAGTACTAAAAATTAAGATTGTGAGATAGTAAATAATACACTAAATCTAGTTACATGTTGAATTGCATTGGTCTGATTCCAGGGAGTAGATTAACCAGATGTAGTCCCAAAACTGGGCCACAGAAAGCTGATACAGCTATGCATTCAGAGCGAGCTAATCAAGCTTATTTAAAACTAGACAATGAGACAGGACAGAAAGAGGATGGGGAGCCAAGTAGGACTCTGTTCTTTATCACCATCAAGTGCTCCGTTCATTATAGTGGTGCTGGCTTTCCACCACGGTTTGCTAAGAAACCTGAAGTAATACTTTACCCTAATTGCTCCTAGCAATTAGATCAAAAGTAAATACATATCTCATGCTCATGGTAGGAGAAGGCTACAGACATTTATGCAATAGGAAATTTCATTCAAGACTAATATGCTGAGCAATAGCTGTATAAAACAATCTGAGTCTTTAAAGAGATTCAACTTTACTACTACAGAAATCTGAGAAGCATAAATGGTAGGAAAGAAAGAGAAGGGGGGTCCTTTACTGTGCTCTGTTCGTCTACCTACCTTTAAAGGCTGTAGTGAAACTGGTTAGAAGGAGTCAGCAGAAGCATTAGCCCGCATGTGACTACACTCCATTTTTATACATCAACTTTTTTAACATGGAAAGACAAATATCCCTACATTGCATTTTAAAAATCAAAACGCCCATGAAACAAATATGTTTTTATCCTCTTCCATGTAGCAAGCATGGCCATCCAGGAGCCATGCAGTCTGAGCCCTCAAGGAGCTTACAGTCCAGTGGGGAGAAAGAGATAATCACACAATTTAAATAAATACTCATTTACAGAGAAACCAAGATGGTGGCATAAGTAAACACCTGAACTGTTGCCTTGCACAACAACTTCAAAACTACAACTAAAAGACAAAACGGACATCATCCAGAACCACAGAAAGGCTGGCTGAATGGAAATTCTACAACTAGAAGGAAAGAGAAAAGCACATTGAGACTCAGAGGAGATGCAGAAGTAAAGACAGAGGAGCAAAGTCAGGAGATGGGGAAGAGCAAGGCAGGCTACAAGATTTGCCAGGACCATTACAAAAAAGTCAAGACCCCTGGTTCCAAGTGATGATTTCAGATGGTGCTGGAGCATTAAACTTAAGTGTGGGGACCTGTGTGACTGCATAGGTCCCATGCCCAGGAAGCAGGCTATGGGAAAGGGGGATGCAGTGGAGCTCAAAGCCAACTGGAACATAGTGAGGAGAGAAGTGACTGTGGAGGCTGCAGAGGTCTGAGTAGTACATGAGCCCCAGGCCAAGGTGTAGGGCCAGAGACCAGCCTCACAGATCAGCCTACAGTGTGTCCTTCACATTTCCCCAAACAGTTACCAAAGAGCCAGGCTCTTACATAAGTACTCTATGCTAAGGGGAAGACAAAGAAGATAGTATTTGCTTTCAAGAGGCTTACAAATTATTCTATAATTTGGGGTCGAATGTGGTAAGTTCCACAGAAGGGTATAATCACCAACTGTGGAAGACTGAGGCATGAAGATTACCCACTTGAGGTGGAGAATGTAAACACAGACAGAAGGACTGAAATTAGCATTCTTCTGACTGCAGAGCACTGATGTGCCATACACATCAGCACCTCCTGTGTGCCAGGCATGAAGTGCTATGTACTCTACACACATTATTGTATATTAGCCTCACATCAAGCAGGTAGGGCTATTATCTTCCTCGCTTTACAGAGGAGGAAACTGACCCCTTAGGTTAAGGGGTCCATAGTCACACAGCAGGCAAATTCCATCTACGAGACAAGGTCCAAAGTCCTTGCTCCAAACTACTATACAACACTACCATTTACTAACATCGTTTTATTTTGCTTTGTTTTTAAAAAATATGTGCTATACTTATGCCTTTTTTATTTTTCTCCCTGGCCTTGTGTTGTCATTTTAACCTTCTTTATCTACTCACTAAGCTATATATACTGCCCTGATTTGGCTGAAAGATATATAAGAAAAATAATTTTCCCTAAAGATTTTTCTGTCTTTATCATTAAGAGCCAAAGCTGGCACAAACAGCAATGGGAAATACACTTAGGTAGGAATTTCTAAAATAGGATGGCATGGCATACATAATGC